GGGGCTTTCCTGGTGGCTCAGCTGGTAAAGAATCCGCCTGCAATGCAGGAGACCTGGGTTCGATCCCTGGGTTGGGAAGATCTCCTGGAGAAGGGAACGGCTACCCGCTCCAGTATTCTGACCTGGAGAATTCCATGGCATCGCAAAGAGTCGGACATGACTGAGCGACTTTCACTTTTACTTGACTGTCTCCCTTCGTTTCTACATTTTCTCACTTTTCTGATTAAACTTATCTTTGGCTAAGTTTTCCCACAGACAAAAGGCAGGCAGAGGACATGGGGGGATGGGCAGGACCATAAGATCCTGCTCCTGTTCAGTAGGATGGTGGCAGCCCCTGGAATTCATTAACAGGAAGGGTGTGAGTCTAGACCTCATGGTGTGAAGTGACTGTGCAGTCAGCATTTTCCAGAGTTTCTCCTGCTCTTCCTTCAGCGTCTTCTCTGCCCCCTTCCCCCATCTATTATGTATTCATGTGAACATGATGTTACCGTCTGATACCCACTGTGCTCCAGAGCCGCGCCAATACTGGCTCACTCTAGTTGCCCTGTCTTTTTATCTGTAGGTGAAACTCCCTCCTTCACTGCATTAATTTTTTAAGCTAAAGTATACCTTGGTGGTATACTTTTACCAGATGGTAAAGAATCTGCCTTCAGTGCAGGAGACACAGGTTCATTCCCTGGGTAGGGAAGATCGCCTGGAGGAGGGCATGGCAATCCACTTCAGTATTCTTGCCTGGAGAATCCCATGAACAGAGGAGCCTGGTGGGCTACAGTCCATGGAGTCACAGTCGGACACAGCTGAGCGACTCTTTCACTTTCACTTTTATAGTTAATTTACGATGTTTCAGGTGTGTAGAAAGTGTTTTGGTTTTACATATCTATATATATTATATGTATATATATTTATTATATCTAGAGAGAGTGTGTGCACACACACACACATATTATAGTGTTCTTTTTCAAGTTCTTTTCCATCGTAGGTTATTAGAAGATATTGAATATAGTTCTCTTTGCTGTATCTGTTGTTATTGATCTGTTTTACAGTTAGTAATGTGTATCTGTTAATCCCAAATTCCTAATTTATCCCTCCCACCCTTGCCCCTTTGGGAACTGCAAGTTTATCTTCTATGTCTGTGAATCTATTTCTGTTCATAAATGTGTTCATTGGCATCATTTTTTAGATTCCGCATGTGAGTGATATCGTATATTTGTCTTTCTCTGACATTTCACTAAGCCTGATATTCTCTCGGTCCATCCATGTTGCTGCAAATGGCCTTATTTCACTCTTTTCGTGGCTGAGTAATATTCCGTTGTAGACATGTGCCACGTCTTCTTTACCCATTCATCTGTCGATGGACTTTTAGGTTGCTTCCATGTCTTGGCTGTTTTAAGTTGTGCTGCTGTGAGCATTGGGCACATGTTTCTTTTCTAATTAGAGTTTTCATCTTCCCCAGGTATATGCCCAAGAGTGAGATCAATGCATTGATTTTTATTTGACTCATTCCCAAAGCCAAACATCTGACTTCCGATATATCTTTACGCATTTCTTCTACCCTTTGCATAGATGGTTGCATATCAGTGCGAGGGTCTGGAATCAGATTGGAATGAGTCTGGGGGATACTTGAAAGAACCTGTGGGACCATTTTGGTGAAAGATGGCAAACTGATGAAATGAAATCTGGAGCAGCTGGAGATATGGGGGAAATAAATAGCAGTCTGGGAAGTTCCCCCTAGCCCAGGGGTGCCAGGAAACGGCTCTGGGAGGTTTCCAAGTAAAGGATAAGTGTAGATGGACCAGCAGGACAGTTTTTGAACCTTTCTTTCTCATCACATACCACTTAGTTACATTGGTGTACCAAGCAGGCCATCTCTAGGACATAGTATTTTGGTTAAAAATTTGTATACATTTAAGTGTATATATATTTAGTAATTCCCCTACATACAAACCTTCAGGTTGCAAATTTTCAAAGATGTGAATGTATGTTCAGATAGCCCGTCACGTAAGTTGGTTCACATGTCTGGTGTACTTTGTCACGTGCATGCTTCTTCTACCAGTGGTTGTGCTTTTTTGTATTTTACTGTAAAGCACTGTATAGACTACAGTAGTAAGCATCTTTATTTCTAGCCCAGGGTGTCCAAAAGCAAGCATAAAAGCAGCAATGATGTAGCTAGTACTACTGTACTTTTCAAGGTACTATACTGTAAGGTTTGAAATGTTTTTTTGTTGTTGTTTTGCTTTTTATGTATTATTTGTGTGAAAAGTATTATAAACCTAATTCAGTAATTACCATATAGCCAATTGTGTTAGTTGGGTCCCTAGGCTAACTTTGTTGTACTTATGAACAAGCTGGACTTACAAATGTGCTCTTGGAATGAACCTCATTGGTATGTAGGGGACTTGCTGTAGAGATGAAATAAGCAATTTATGAAATAGCTCAACACTTAAGGCTAGTTGGCAGTAAAATTCTGATTGTTTTCAGGAGAATATTTCTTCTAATTAAAAGTATCTTGTTGGAATTTTGGTCCTGTTATGAGAGGCAAAAATCTTAATAAAGGCTCCAACAAAGTACAAAAAGGATCTGGACATTGGCGTGGGAGGAAGACGGGAATGGGGATGGGAAGTTTCTGGAAGGAGCGAGACAGGGAGGGACAGGGTTTAGGAGAGGAAGGCGATGCAACACAGGCGCACCCACTCAGGCTGACTCTCCGGGTCGAGGTCGGGCCAGGGACGGCTGCCCTGGGGGCGAGGCGGCGGCATCCCTTCCTCCACCTCCCTGCTGAACCGGAGGACAGGAGCCTCAGATGAAAGAAACTATCATAAACCAGGAGAAACTCGCCAAACTGCAGGCACAAGTGCGCATTGGTGGGAAAGGAACTGCTCGCAGAAAGAAGAAGGTGGTTCATAGAACAGCCACAGCAGATGACAAAAAACTTCAGTTCTCTTTAAAGAAGTTAGGGGTAAACAATATCTCTGGTATTGAAGAGGTGAATATGTTCACAAATCAAGGAACAGTGATCCACTTTAACAACCCTAAAGTTCAGGCATCTCTGGCAGCAAACACTTTCACCATTACAGGCCACGCTGAGACAAAGCAACTGACAGAAATGCTCCCCAGCATCTTAAACCAGCTTGGTGCCGACAGTCTGACCAGTTTAAGGAGACTGGCTGAAGCTCTGCCCAAACAGTCCGTGGATGGAAAAGCACCACTTGCCACTGGAGAGGAGGAGGATGAAGTTCCCGATCTTGTGGAGAATGTTGACGAGGCTCCCAGGAACGAAGCACACGGAACTGAGTTAACTTCCGAAGAAGATGAATCTTGAGGAAGTTACTGGGAGCTGCTATTTTATATTATGACTGCTTTTTAAAATTTTGTTTATGGATCTGATAAAATCTAGATCTCTAATATTTTTAAGCCTAAGCCCCTGGACACTGCAGCTCTTTTCAGTTTTTGCTTATATACAATTCATTCTTTGCAGCTAATGAAGCTGAAGAAGCCTAAGAATAAAGTTTGAGACAAAGATAAATAAAATTCTTTGCCTAGTTAAAAAAAAAAAGGCTTAATATGAGCTATGACACATAGAGGCATGGGTGGAGGAATCAGGAAAATGGGAATAGATACAAAAAGAAAGACATGGTCTAGAATTTCTGGGGAAATTATGTTTCATTTAGAACAACTACACATGACATGTTTAAAAAGAACGCAAGAAAGTGCACAAGAGACAGCACATAATCTGCTGCCAAGTGAGGGAGCCAGGCAGTCATTTCAGGAGACGGGACATGGGTGTGAACACGCCCAGGTGGAGGCGGGAGACGCCGGCGCCCCTGCTGACTGCCAGTGCCGCCCTGCTCCGCACATCTCCAGCCAGCAGTGAAGGGTCACCCCAGCAGAGGCAGGGGTGATGGTGCAGACAGTGTTCTCAGGCGAGGAGGACCTCCCTGGCCAGTGGCTTTGCCTCAAGTCATCATCTGTCCTGTCCTCACAGACGTTCACCTTCAGTGCTGCAGATGGAAGACTGAAAATTCTGCATTTCACATCTCCTTAGTTCAGTAAGGTTCCAATTGCATTTCCCTGCCCTTCTCATTTTATGTCATTCCTAGTTAAGGGGACACAGGTGCGTTTTTCAATATTGTGGAGACAGAGGGATGTTTAAAATGCCTATGAACGTNGGCTGGGCCACCAGGGAAGCCCCAGAGATAGAGATATATACACACAAAAGATGATGGTGATAAGTAACACTGATTCAGCATTTGCTATGTGCCACATAGTCTTCTCAGCACTGTGCTTCTACTAAATGTTATAAACCTAGTGGGAGCCCCTACTTGGGGAGTGGTGACGTGATTGTCCTCATTTGCCATGTGAGGCTGAGGCGCTGGCAGCTTTCATCACTCACCTGCCCAAGACACATATCTATGAAATGAAGAGTCAGAATCTCCTTAGAGGCCTCAGCTCAGAACCCAAGCTTACATAGGAATTGCCTCCCTGAGGCAGCGCTGGGGGAGGTGGCTATTGCGAGACCTGGTCACGGTCGCTGACTTAGCATTTTTTTACTCCTCCTTCTCAGCCATGAGTGGGATATTTTTATCCAGCAGGAATCAGTGACAATCCACATACAGATGGTCTAAGTCTCTTCTATTTCTGAAACACAAACACAGCGTGCATTCAAGGTTCTCTGGCATGACATGGCCTTGGACTGGAGCTAAACCCTCCAGGCCTGTCTTTTTTCATCTACCCTGAGACACGACCCCCAGAATCTGCATGCTCAGAGCAGAGCCTCAGGGCAGAGGAGACAGTGGGAGGTGGGGTCCTGGGAACGGTGCCAGGAGCCCCCAGCGTCTCTGTGGATCTGTGTCCACTTTGCCTGAGGGACATTACATAGAGACTCTGACATCACAGCCTACAGTATGTGGTCTCTAAACAACTCAGTGGGCACCTCCATGAAGGCAGGGCCCCTTCCTGTTGACCTAAATACATCATTAGGTCCTAGCCCAGGGCCTGAGTTGGGAGAACCCTAACCCTCACCTGAGATGGGAGATCACCAGAAACACGGTGGGCATGCGCAGAAGACCACGTGGAAAGAACCCTCGGCCACATTAGTGGCACCTCTCCTCCTGGTAGAATCTTTCTCGAGACAGGTCACTTTCTGTGGCTCTGTTTCTATTTTATAATGATCTGCAGACCTGGAGGAAACAAAAAAAGTGTCATGCAGCATAGTAGGTAGGAATACGCTTGAATTAAAAATGAAAAATGAGGACAAATCTTGCCTTGGATGTTAGTGGACTCCAGCTCAGTCCTTGTTATAGATAATACTTGGTGCTCACAAAGGCTGACATCTGGCCGTTTACCACCAACAACCATGGTGAAGGCAGGTGGAGAGTACAAAGGGACCCATGTGGAACAACCAGGGAAGCTTTGGGGTGTCTTTCCATCAGAGACTTAAAATAGCCATTTCTCAGTTGCTTAGGAGGAAAAAGAGAAAGGCCAGAGCCATTCTGATAGGGACCATTAAAAAAAAAAAAAGCCCTGTTCAGCGCAGTAATGTATCCCACGTAGTGGCCTTATATCACCCCTGGATCCAGAACTTGGTCCAAACGCCACCCACCACGGCTGCAGGGGGAGGGAGAGACAGAAGAGCCTGGGTGGGGGATTTTCTTTTCTTTCTTTCTTTCTTTCTTTTTTTTACTAAATATGTATTTATTTGGCTGCACCAAATCTACCTTGAAGCATGCGGGATGAACTTAGTTGTGATGTAGGGTATTTAGTTCTCTGACCAGAGATGGAACCCTGACCCCCTGCACTGGAAGCGTGAAGTCTTAGCCACTGGACCACCAGGGACGTCCCTGGCTTGTGGCTTTTCTTCCCCCTGGTCTTTACTGGCTTTTCTGTAATCTTGAGCAAATCACGCAGTCCTCCTTTTATCCAGCTGCCACATCTGCAAAGTGGGAGGAGATTCTTAACACCTGCCGTGTTTCTTTTCTGCTTTATCTTGTGATCGCTGATTTATCCAACCACTTCCTTGTTCTCCCTGCCCCCAATTTTATTAAGATATTATTGACACATAACTTACTCGTTTCTTCAGCAAGCATTATTGACGATTTAAGTTGTACCAAGACCTGTCCCAACCGTTAGTGATCGCATAGCCAGCAAGATGCATGCCTGTTCTCATGGGGTGTGCGTTCTTGGTAAGGCAGCAGGCAGTGAACACATACATGCACGCACATTCATGTACAGATGCACACACATGCATATATGTATGTGCTCAAATAAGTGCAAGCATATATGACATATATAAAGATATGTGTGGGCACATGTAATATATACATTAATGCAGTTCCAAATGGTGCGGGTCCTCTGAAGAAAATTATTTTAAAAGACTCTGGTGTGATGAGAAACATAGAAGTGAGTAAGACCAAAGCAGTGGGATGTGATGGGGAGCCAGGGATGGAAGTGAGGGAAATACGTTGCCTTGATGGCTGTGGGAAGGAGCTCGGGTTTTTTTCTTTCATTTTGATTATTAATTGGTTTGTTTGTTCATTGTTTGCCTGCCCACTTGAGTGTCAGCTTTAGGAGGGCCTTTGTCTATCTGGTCACCATTTATCTCCACTGACTAGAGTAATTCCTGCCACATAGTAGGTGCTAAGTTTGCTATTGTTAAATGAATATGTAAGTAATGTATACACATTTGTATACTTCACTTAATGATATGTCATGGATCTTTCTTTTTTATTAGTTTTTATTGCAGCATCCTTTACAATGTTGTGTCCGCTTCTTCTGCCCAGTGCGGTGAATCAGCCGTGTGTACTCACGTCCCCTCCCTTGGGACTTCCTCCCTATTCAGGTCCCCGCAGCGCATTAAGTAGAGTTCTCTGTGCTGTGCAGATGTTCTCAGCAACTGTCTGTTTCAGACATGCTATCAATAGTGTGTGGGCTTCCCAGGTGGCGCTAGTGGTAAACAGCCAATGCAGGAGATGTAAAAGACACGGGTGCAACCCCTGCAGAGACGCAGGTTCGATCCCTGGGTCGGGAAGATCCCCTGAAGGGGGGCATGGCAACCCACTGCAGTATTCTTGCCTGGAGAATCCCATGAAGCCTCGTGGACTATGGTCCATAGGATTGCAGAGAGTTGAAACACGATTGAAGTGACTTAGCATGCATGCACATCAGTAGTGTATATGGAGCTCACATTTTGTTAGAGCTTTGGTGGGGGGTGGTACCGACATGACGCTGTGGGGAGAGGAGGGGTTGCGGAGCTCCGTGTAACCTTGTCAGCCTTTCATAGCATGTTACTTTAGAGACCCTGTCTCTAATCCCGTTCCCTGTTCTAATGATGGGGAAATAAAATCCAAGTCATTTCAGCATTCCTGGGAGCCACCCAGCCTCCACACGCCTGCCAGGGTTCTTTCCCTGCCCACGCCTTTGCTCCTGTGGGAATGTCTGGTTCATCCCCACTCCTACCCCACGCTCCTCAAGCCACCAGCCAGTCTGCTCTCCCCTCCACCCCTACAGCCACCAGTTTCCCCAGCTGGAGAGCCCCACACCACGGGTGCCCTGGGCTGCTCCCCACAGTGGACCCAGCCCATCTTCCTCCGAGCCAGCTGCATTCCTCAGACAGGTGTCAAGTGGCAGAGAGCTCTCTTCATTGCCCTGCCCCAGCAGCTGCTGCAGCTCCCCGTTCCCATGTCCCAGGAATCCCTCCCCCAGGGAATCTGGAGGTGCTGACAAAGCCACCTGGGGTGACCGGGCACAAAGAGGAAACTGGCAAAGTGATGACAGTCCTGCTTTCATTTGCAAGATAGAAGCTGCTTCAGGCAGGCGTGATTCTGGAAAGTCTTTCAGAGCCTCATGCTTTTCGGGGGAACACTTTGGGGGAGCTTGTCCTTTTAAGGAAGTGGGAGGGCCTCGAAATATGACAGGTGGTCCACCTGCAGCATATCACTTGGGAGCTTGTTAAGATGCAGAGTCTGAGAACTGGATTCCACAAACCACAGCTAAAGAAGAGTTCGCATGCCGCCACTGAAGATTCTGCATGCCACAAGGAGAATCAGAGATCCCGCATGCACCAGCTGAGACCCAGTGCGGCCAAAAAAAAAACCTTAGAAAAAGCAGCAACAAAATATGATTCCCAACAAAAGTCCCAGATCTTGAATGGTATGTTGATTCTGTTCATCATGGTCCTGTGGCCTCTGTGAGTCACAGGGATGGATCACAGTAGGTGTGTAGAGATGCTAGTGCGTCTAGAAAAGTGATGGGAATTCTGCACTAGAGGGACAGGATCTCTGTGTGGCCTGGGGTCTATTCACTGCCCCTTGAAATTTTTCACAGAGGGATGGTGATGCATCTAGAATATGGACTTTGAAGGTCCCCAAGCGGCACTGTCAGGAGAACTCTCTGCCATGCAGGATATGCCCTGACTGCCCTGTTCAGTACGTCCCCCACTCAGCACCCATTTACTAACTACTGCATGCTTGGAACATGGCTAATTTGACTGATACACTCAATGTTTAGTTTTCTTTCATTGTATTAATTTATATTAAAAAAAAACCT